GCCTTATGACCAACGGACACACGTGATTGTGAAGCGGAGTGATAGCTTCGCCGCAATCCTCGTGACCCAAAGTCGATTCTTGTTGGGGATGCTGAGACCTATGCGAGGCAGAAAATGCAGTCTAACTTGGATGAGAGAATTTTTTGGAAGGCAAGGCTAAATGAAATTCAATAATATCATGATGCCTATGCAGAACACTGTGAGTGAATTTAACTATCAATATTTAACTAATCTTAAGTGAATAAGGGCGACTAAATTTTGGTAAATAAGTAAATAAAAGAATGGATTGACTTGATAGTATTATATTTATTACATTCAATTATTTTAATATAAGTTTATAATGTTAACATTAAAATATCCTATAAAATCAAATTGAGTGGTAAACAGATGCTTGCCACTTCGATGTATCGTCACGATAGAGTGGAGTGACGATCAAGCATTGACGAGGCTTAAATTTCAATCATAGATGAAAACCTGCTTCTATAATATATAGAACAGTAAAATTCTAAATCTAAAGTAACTCCCATCCGCTCAAAATGGCACACCATACCATATTTATATAAGAAATAGTGAGACTGAATGAGTGATACGAGGATATAGGATAGGCGAATAGCCCAAGACAGGAGAGATACCACAATTGTTTAGCAGGCCATTAGTCAAAGGATCGGCTTCACTTCTCTCTTTGACGAGTTGTAGTGTGGTGCTAGGAATGACAAAGCTCACTGACGATACCAACTACGATGCTGGCAAAACGTGTGGGGATGTACCACGTCCACGGTCCAACTCTGGAAATTATCATTCATACTACGGACTTCGGACTAGGTGCGTCCCTCCAGGTCTTCCTACCAAAATGATCAAGTTGAGGAAACAAGATCAAACAACTTCTATACAACGAAAAGAGACTGCGACCATACAAAAGGCCACAACAACTTGGTCTTCATACTTTCGATTAAAGTTAACTATGTTTTTAAATAACTATGAGTAAACAAAATAGCATTGGCTAAAGCCCCATCCTTTTGCATGCCTTATTGTATTTTTGCATTTTTTCGTAAATAATAGTTTCTCGCTCTGATTCTTCTTGTCACATAACGGAAAAACGTTTAGCACGGACAGTAAGCCGAAGAATTCTTGGCAAAATCCTCGTACGGTTTCCCATCAGGCCAATTTCCGAATTCTCTTTGACCACCTTCTCCTTTAAGCTGAAAATTTGATTCACATTAATCCATTAAGGGATTCCTTGAAAACCAGCTCTTCTTCATATATATAAAATCCTCCTTAACTAACGACGTTATTTCACAATTTTTTTTAATTTCATTATAGTTTCTTGATCACTAATAAAAATATATTCATTTCTACATTGGGAGACAAGAACTAAGAGACATTCCGGTATACAATTATAATAGTCACTATACCTGTACTTGAAAGCTTCGTCGATTTAGCTGATCGCTTCCTGTGAGAGGTCTGGATTCAATTCTTTTTAGTTCAGATGGAGCCAAAAGGGTTGGCCCCAGCTCTGCTGAGCTGATCTCACCAGGACCGGTCGCCCTGGCCTCATTTCTATTAGGCCAGGAGCTAGCAGCTGTCAAGGTGATTCCCGACGAATTCTTAATATAACTTTCGCTCATTTGTTCTCTCGATAAGGACCCAATTGTCCCCTCATGCTCTTTTGCAATCTGGAATGACATGGGAATCCTTGACAGTGGCAAAGAAATCCGTCTCGACGGATGTGAAGCCAGAACAGATCTCGAGGCTTCACTAACATACGAGGCAATTGGAATTCGAGTGTCAGCTAAGGCTTGTTTGCAGTTTGGCACAAGGTTATCATATAAAATCCGAGCAGTAGAGTTAGCATTGCAGCCATTTTCCAAGACTGCAGAGATACTAGGAGCCGATAGTGGGGATCCCGAACGGTGTAATTTGGAGTGGGGCTGCAGACTAGGCTTCAACGCCGGTATTTGGTCGCTCACAGATGACGTTGTTTCACGGCGAAGAGCATGAACTCTGGGGCAAAGCCAATTTGCTGAGTGACGAAACAAACGTTGTGATAT